AACCTGATTTCACGACAAATAGAGGAATTAATGCGTATGTATACCCCTAAACCTAGCATGTGACTATCGGAGTCTTTACAAATCAAAGGATAGTACCCATCAACACTGACATCTGAAGAAGGAATTGCAGAATTTAAATTTGTTTCACTGAGTGCAAGCAAGTCTGGTGAATTTTGCAGGAGGTAAGACTCAACTGATGGAAAGTTGCTTCGTAGACCGCGAATATTTGTAAAAGATATATTAAAATATTTAGGTGGTGGGGATGGTTTTTTAGGTTTTAAATTTTTGGTTACTTTGGTCATGATTTGGGTTTAATGAGAACTTGACTCATTCATAGATAGAGCACAGCCTCCTAATCAATGAGCTATGCAGTTGTCTCAGTCCTGTTAATTAACCCTAAGCCGTGACATAGGGCTCCTTATGTGGCCTTGACAATGCACACCAAAAGCATTAACAGGGACACCATCCATGCGCAACATGGCACTGTTAATACTCTGATATTTTGCAGCTGTTGATGGAATCAGCCTCTCTGAGAGCTACCACAGAGTTTCGGGAAACCTTACTACCAGCCGGCCTCAGAACCATTAAACTGAGTTTTAGAGCTGTACCCTCATATGGAGATAACAGGAAGAGTTGCATAGCCATTATCAAGGAGGCATAAGCAAAATTCTATGAGTAGAGTCAAGGAGATCCAGCATTCATCATCCTAGGCAGGAAACAATGTAAAACAGGTTACATCTACGCCAGCCTAATAGATGAAGAAGGAGTTCGAGGCTGGTTAGCAGAATTTTTTTGCTTACCCCTAAAGTCTTTGCCTAGGAGGCCTTCTACAAGACAGTAACAGGATGCAGTTAACATCTGCCCAAGATGAGTATTTTTATCGAGACACCATCTCTAGTCTTTACTCAACCAAGAGCCCCAAGGCAGGGGATGTTTAGCTGGATGCAGTTAACATCTGCCCAAGATGAGTGTTTTTATCGAGACACCATCTCTAGCCTTTACTCAACCAAGAGCCCCAAGGCAGGGGAATTTTTAGTCGGAGTTTATTTCTCCTAGCCTTTGTATAAGAAGAGCACACTCTGCAAGGCAGCAGGGCTTGAGGCAGGTGGTACTGGGTTATGTGATGCCAGTAGCAAGATTGATCTTGATTATCCTGACCTGACCTGGAGTAGTTAAAAGGAGTTACTTCCCGTAACAGTACTTTGAGAAAACCAGGCATGACATTTTGGAAGTGCATTAGGAAAAACACTGCATCTAACAAAATACAGGAGTCTAAGGTGAGTGTACGTTTTGTAGTTGGAGTAAGTAGTTAGTTACTGAGCTCACGCTGCATTAGAGTATAAACAGAACACAAACAAACATAAATCAACTTACGGGTGAGTCAACACCGCGCCAGAGGTTCAGACAGAACACAAACACATAAAAAACATAAAGTAACTTACGGGTGAGCGAACATCACGCCAGAGGTTCAGACAGAACACAAACATACATAAAAAAACATAAAAAACATAAACATAAAGTAACTTACGGGTGAGCGAACACTGCGCCAGAGGTTCAGACATACATAAAGAACATAAAGTAACTTACGGGTGAGCGAACACCGCGCCAGAGGTTCAGACAGAACACAAACATACATATAACGTAGATTACAGGTGAGCTAATACAGTAACAAAGGCACCTCCAACTATATGGGGAAAAAAAAATTACTATAGGCATGACTGATATAGGATAGTACTGATGACAGGAAGAACACTCCTTCCAGCCTTTGCTTAGATAGCAAATCCTGCAAGGCAGCAGAACATGGAACAGGTTGCACTGGGTTACATGTTACCAGTAGCAGGATGACCATGAAGACCATACTCCTGACCTGTCAAATCTTATATATAATTGTCAATTCTGGTTGATTGCTTGATTGTTTGTTCCCGGTTGGCAGCCTAACCTTGGTCTTGGAGACTTGAGGTTTGGCGTGGATGGTCCCCATGGCCCAGGGAGTGACATGGGCTATTTTGGTTTGGCCTCAGAGATCGCTGGAGGCTGCCTGGGGTTGCAGGGGTTTTCAAATAGTCATTTCTTGGTCAGAGGAGGGCTGGATAGAGTGTTCCTTGTGAAGTGCAGAGTTGTTTCTGGCCCCCGGAGGTGGGGGTGTGGATGACCTCGGGTGTGACTTCGGGGGTCGCTGGAGGTCGGAATGGTCTGTGTGGCGTTTCTTATGATGTGATTTTTGTCAGTTTCTTTCGTGTTCCATGGATTGCTGTTGCCTGTTTTGTCAATTTCCAGAGTTTTCTGGAATGTTCCACGTGTTACCGGAGTGGGCCAGAAATTTTCGGAGTGGACCGGAGTTTTATGGAATGTTCCATAGTGCACAATATGGCTGTTCCATCACGTTCCAGAGCATTCTGGGGTTTTCCAGAGTGTTCTGTGGTGCTCTTTGACTCCGTCAAAGGTTTTTAATTTAGAATAAATCTTTTTGTTAGTTTTTTGTTTTTTGTTTGTTTTGATTTTATTTATTATATTTAAAATTGAAAGAAAATGCTTATTTCGGTGTTATGTTATGTTCCATGGGGATGTAGGTGAATTACCGAAGATTAAACACCATTTACGGGGTTGCAGTTCTGGGAGTCAGTGCAGTGGGTCGGTTTGCTTTTTGCATGTTGCTGCGGGAAATGGTTGGGAAAATATTTTTTTGGTACTTGGTACAGGAACATTGTTCTTTTCAAATGAGTATTGTGTATAAATATGGTATGGTGCATATTCTTCATAAACTTTTACAATAATCCACTAACTAGTAAATTGTTCAGTACTTGCCATGCACTAAGCATTTGGTAGAAAGTTCTGAAATCATATCTGAAAAAAACTTTTTTTCTTGTACTTCTCTGATAATCTATTACACTGCAAAAATATATTTTTCAAAAAGGACATATATCCCACACTATATCTTGCCCACACTCCCCTTAAACAGTTTAAGGGAGCAATTTAGAGCTCTCGCAAAAGTATTATTTTTTTTCTCTTAAAATTTTAATTATCATTAAAACTAAAATGAAAAATGCAGTCTAAAAAATTTAATTCATTGAATAATTAACAGGCACAGTTTTTGCAAAGTCAAAAAAATTTTTACGTCTAAAGAATATTTTTATGGCGCAATAAATGCCGCTTGTTTTGTGTATATTATTGTAGCATTAACATTACAAACATGCTAGTAGCAAGAATAAAACCAAATTTTGTATTTAATAAGTAACTTTTATATAAATAAACAGATAGCTTGTGCAAAAACTAAAAGCTCTCGTAAAAAGCAGTTTCGAGGAGCAGCTCGCATAGCTCGCGCTCATTTACTCCCCCCAAGGCCTACAGGGCGGCCACTGGTCATGGAAATTATGGAAATGTCATGGAATTTTATTTGGTCATGGAAAAAGTCATAGAATGCCTAAATTTTCATTGAAAGTCATGGAATATTCATGGAACTTTTTAAAATGATCTTTTTTTTTTTCTGCTTGTGATATTTTTAGGATGCAAAGAAAAGTACTATTATGTCTAGTCTAAGTCCTTTTTGAAAAATATATTTTTGCAGTGTAATAGATTATCAGAGAAGTAAAAGAAAAAAGTTTTTATCAGGCATGATTTCAATACTTTCTACCAAATGCTTAGTGCATGGCAAGTACTGAAAAATTTACTGGTTAGTGGTTTATCGTAAAAGTTTTATGAAGAATCATGGAAAAGTCATGGAACTTCATTTTCAAATTTGAATGGCCACCCTATATATATATATATATATATATATATATATATATATATATATATATATATATATATATATATATATATATATATATATATATATATATATATATATGTATATATATATATATATATATATATATATATATATATATATATATATATATATATATATATATATATATATATATGTATATATATATATATATATATATATATATATATATATATATATATATATATATATATATATATATATATATATTTCAACAGTTTAATTTTTTTTTTCTTTTGTTATATTAAAGGATATGGATAGTGCATTAGTAGTTCTAACTTTATATTTAAGAGAAAAAATTTAAAAATAAACAGCTCAACGTTGAGTTTTATGAGTTTTTTTCATAAAAAGAGATCATGCTTTTCTATTTTTTGTTTTGAGAAAAATATACATATTTATATAAATATATATATGTACATTATGTGACAGTTTTTTACTTCAGAATTTTAAAACTGAATTTTATTTGGTATTTCAAAGAAATTGAAAAAGTAAAAACTTGTTTTTTTATTTACTTAAGTTCTGAATAAAATTATTAAATTAAAAATAGTAAAATTTAAATTCTAAATAAAATATTAAAAAAATAAAAAAGGCAAAGCAAATGTCTTAATTTTTATAAACAAGATTAAATTAAAACATATAAACAGATATTTTATTTCGTTTCTGAAAAAAATAACTTAAAACATAACACGGAAATAAGCATTTTCTTTCAATTTTAAATATAAAAAATAAAATAAAAACAAACAAAAAACTAACAAAAGTATTTATTCTAAATTAAATAATACAAAAAAAAACTTTTTATCTAAATATCATATACGAACCTTTTATTTAAATTGTAAACAAAACAATTAAAATTAAAATGCAAAAACAAATATAAATAGAATAATTAAAGAAAATTGGCAAAACTTTTGTTTGTTTTTTCAATTTTTAAGCTAACATAGAAATTGGGATTTTTTTGTTTATGAATTTGATTGATTTTTTATGAAGTTGATTCAAAATTTTAAGCTGACTTAAAACGGTTTTAGGTTTTTTTTTTGGTATTTATATAGGAAAACTTGCTGACTTGTTTAATTTATATTTATATATATATATATATATATATATATATATATATATATATATATATATATATATATATATATATATATATATATATATATATATATAATATATATATATATATATATATTCTCATTTATTTTTTAATTTTATTTAGGAAACTGTGGAATGCAGTTGCTGTTACGATGATGCAAATTTTGAAGAGATGATCCAATGTTTGGAGGTAATAACATGACATATGTTTATGTAAGCTATCTAAGGTGTCCAACATGTTATTTTTAAGAATTTTCTAAAATATTTTTCAATTTTACTTTTAGTCTTAATGTTCTACTCTTTTCTTAATATCTTTTGCATGGTTACTATGGTTGCCTAGGTTATTATACTATATGGTTTCTATCTTTTATTTTCTAGTGTAGGGTAATTTACTATGTAGAGTAAGCTGCTTTTATTGAATGGTTTTCTTTTTTTGATTGTTTACATTTTTTTTGCAAAAGTGCCTTTTTTTAAAGGGTCATCTTTTTTGCAAGAATTGTTTGAGGCAGTACTCCAATGAGGCTGTTTATGGAGCAGGAAAGTTGCAAATGTATTGTATGGCAGATTCATGTAGTAGCACCTTTCCTTTAAGTAAGTTTATTTTAAATTTTACTACTCCCTTTCTCTTTATATGTGTCTATATATATATATATATATATACATATATATATATATATATATATATATATATATATATATATATATATATATATATATATATATATACATATATATATATATATATATATATATATATATATATATATATATATATATATATATATATATATATATATATATATATATATATATATATTTTTTTTTAAGTTATTAAAATAAACGTATCTAAATTATTAAAACAAACGTATATAACTTGTACTTCTACTGTCATTTTCTAGTCAAGTTGAACACTACATTGATTACCTTGAATTTGCAGTTAAATTCATTATTTAGAAATGAATTCACCATTTAGAAAGGCAGTTAAATGCATCCTTTAGAAATGTTAGCAAAGCTGCGTTTAGTAGTTTATTATAAGGTTTTAAAAACTGTGAAGAAAACTTTGATCCAATCAGTATAAAAACACTTTGAACTCAAACATCCAAAACATTGAAAATAATGGCAAGAAAGCAATATCTATAGGTGAATTAAAAGCTTTTGGTTAATCTGATGAAATGCCGTAGTGGTGTAGTGGTAGAGCGCTCGCTTCATAAACGAGTGGTTCCGAATTCGATTCCCACCACGTCCCTGGTAGTACCGTGCTCAACTTGTTTCTCCGCGCAGCGGCCTCGTTTGTCAAGGTTCGTATTTCAGAGTTATAGAGTTGAGAGAGGGTTGTTACCACAAATAAGTAGCCTCCTCGTCTGTAGTGGCCTTCTCGGCCTTGAGGAGGTGAATTAAAATAATAAAATAAAAAAAATAAAAAATAGAAATAGCCAAGTTAATAATGTTACCATAAAAGATATGAAAATTTGCCTTTTAGTGCAATTTCATGCATCCTACTATGTCTATTTATTAACTAAAAAATGAGCTTGGTTCCAAATCATTAACTTTGCAAATGTGTCAAAACCATAAAAATTTCTAGTAAATTAAATGGTAAATTGGGTAATTTTGTTCTGGTAATTAATATTTAATTTTATTCTGTTTGATGTTTAAATTTTTAATGTTTAAATTCATATAAAACCATTGTTAATAGTTGAACCATTGTTAATATTTGAATAACTCCTGTTACTAGTTCAACCTTCAATTAATGTTACAGTATCTATGCAATATTAAATCATTTCAAAACATATAAGAGCTTCTGTTTTATGTTTTATTTGCTGTTTAAGTATTTATAGTTTCGTAAATTTGTTTTTATTTATAGTTTTAGAATTTGTGTTAATGTGGTGCAATAGTAGTAGTGCAGTAGTAGAGTGCTTGCCTCATAAGTGAGAAGTTCCAAGTTCAATCCCCATTGCGTCTCAGTTAGTACCATGCTCAACTTGTTTCTCTGCACAGAAGTCTTGTTTGTCAAGTCCATGTTTTGGAGTTATAGACTTAAGAAAGGGTTGTAACCACAACTTAAGGTAGACTCCTCTACTGTAGTGGCCTTCATGACTTTGAGGAAGTAAATTGAAAAAAATAAAGAAATTAATTTGTTTCAATTTACTTCCTCAAAGTCATGAAGTTTATAAGAGTTTATTATTTATTTTAACATTTTCAAAATAATGATTTTTAAAATTATAACAAATATCATAAAGGACATAGGTTAGATTTAACCATGCTTTTTTTGGCAAGAGAATTCAAATATATTTTAGAAATAAATATTTTCATTTAAAAATTTTACCTTTTAAAAGAAAATTTAATCAAATCTTTAAAAACTTATTTTTTGAATTTTTAAACGTTTTTATGTCCTTGAAGCAGATTTATAACTCTTTGTTGTTTTATATAATGTATTTTCCTAAAGCCCAGGGAACAGTATACAGTTGTTGGCCTTATTTTTTTAGAGCCTAATGTGAATTTGACGTCATAAAATTCTCTTTATTTTTTAAAGACATTAACTTTTTTAAATTACTGCAATAATATTAATTACTGCAAAACGAGTTAAATTTTATTTAATGACATTTTTATTATTACTATAAGGGAATGTTTATTTATTTATTTATTTTAATATTAAATAATTAAATTTAATATTACATTTATTAAATGTTTGATATTAAAAAATTTCTTTCTTTTCTCTACATTTCCATAAATGAATTAAAATATGTTAAGTTTTTGAATTTTTAAAATGATTCAAATTTCTTAAATTTCTTATTACGGTTTTGCAACTACAAATGATATTTTATTTTTAAAAAATTAGAAAGAAACATATAAAAAAGTTACGTTAATTCAAGCCTTCCCAGGAAACGCGTGCGGTTTGTCGTCTTGTATGTCCACACATGAGTATTTTAATTTAGTCAACTTGGTCACGACTGTTTGCAAGTTTTATTATATGCGTTGCTTAAAAAATGTTTTAAAAACAAAGAAAGCAAAATATCAAAATGAGAAATTATTATAAACTTAAATAGAAAATAATAATAAAAATAATTTAAAAAATTTGTATACTGTTTTTATTTTTATTTCTTCATATTGGTTATTGTTTTTGGAAACAAAGTTTGGTAAGTCTAAGCAAAAAAAAAAACAAACAGTTTTAAATATTGAATGATTTTTCTATATATATATATATATATATATATATATATATATATATATATATATATATATATATATATATATATATATATATATATATATATATATATATATATATATATATTTTTTTTTTTTTATATAGAGGAAAGCAAAAATATAAATTGTCATCTGTTTTTTAAATTTATTTGTGTAGTTTTAATGTATCAAGTACATATCAAAGGTTGAATTAAGCAATTGTGATTTGCAATCTCTGAAAAAATGTCGATCTTTAAAATTTTAGTTTATTCAAAGCTGTGTACTTTGTTTTCAATTTGCAAATTATTATAAGTTTGTTAGCGAGAAAGTTGTAAAAAACAAAACAATAAACTTACGACTACAAAAGTAATAACGCTTTAGTTACTAACTGCATTATAAAAGTAATAAAACTATAATAGTGTTATTACTTTTATAAAGCATATACTACAGGTTTGGTCGGGAAGCGGGAGCGATTGCTCTTGATTGCTGACCACGGAAATAATATTTAGTTGTGAAAAGCTGGCCAGACTTTTTAGTCATTTTGAGAACATTTTAAAAAGCAAAAAAAAATGCGCAAAAGATTAATTGGACCAATGAGAAACAATTACAAAAAAAAAAAAAAAAAATTACGAAAATAAAATATCTTTTAACCCAAAAAAACTTAAAGCAAAATAAATTACGTTTAGAACAACTATTTTCAAAACATTGCTCTTATATAATTTTTTTATAAAATTAAGCAACGTTTTTTATATATAGTAACATCTTACGTTTGTTTAAAAATGTTCTTTATTTATCAAAGTTAACAAGTTTTAGTTTTATAAGCTAAATTATTTTATAAATAAAAAAGTTAATTTGTTTAATACCTATTTTATGTTTTGCGTAGTTTAAAAAGTTTAACACATTTGAAACAATTCTTCTTAGTAAGATAATCAAATTAAATAATTAAAAAATTGAATTACTATAGAAATTAAATTTACTAGATAGAAGTCAACTAAAAAAGTTAAAAATACTTTTATGACGAGGAAGCGAAACTGCTTCATATTATCGCTGATGATGTTTAGTGAGTAGGCTTTTTAATTTTAAATAATATTTAAAGCAGAAAAATATATAACAATTTTTTAAAAATTGCAACTTAAGCGAAAATAATTAGATTTAGTAAACCAATATTTAAAAACTTTTCTTTATATCTAATAACTTGCTATATATATTTATGTTCTGTTGTGACCTCAGACATGGTGCTTGTTCATCCGTGAGTTACTTTGTATGCATAGTTTGTGTTTAGTAACCAAAAACTTCTTATATGTTTTTTACATAATTAGTTTTATTAACTTTAACGATTATTAATAAGTTCATTGAAAACAATTATTTTTGTAAGTCTTTGTTTACAAATTAAATCAATAAAAAACAGATACACAAAATTACATTTTCATAAAAAATACATACTCTTTAAATAAGTATATACTAATAAAATCTACAATTTATAATAAACTTTCAAAATTTTGACAATTTAAATAATATATAATTAAAACTTAAATTTATTGTAAATAAATTTTGTATTATTATTTGTTTACATAAATGCCACGCCGTTGCCTGTGTTGTTAAAATCTATGTGATATAAATACGTGTATAAAATCATATGATCTATAAGTATATAACACTTTAATAGTAATATTTTTTGTTTTAATTAAAAACTATTTGTTTTGTTTTCAAAAAATATATATATATATAAGTACTATACAAATTAGCATGATACAAAAAATCAAAAATGATTCTAACATTTACTAAATACATGTTGCTAATAAAATCTAAAAAAAAGAAAATACTGCATTATTTTTGTTATTTGGTGATAAATAATATAAGTAAAATTTGATTTTCCTATTGTAAAAGAAAATATTTACTTCACTTATTTTCAAATAAAAGTAGAAAACTTGGTTTAATTACTTTTTTTATTATGTAAGTTAATTCCAACTCGATCAAAAAACAAAAACATGCTACAGTGATCATTTTTTATAACCACCGCAGACAAGGGGAATCCTATTGTATTAATTTAAATGATTTAAAAAACTCTGTGGCATAAATGTAAACAATCTACAATTTATGATAAACTTTCAAAATTTTGACAATTTAAATAATATATATTTAAAATATTTATTTTTGTAAACAAATAATAATAGTTTATAAGATTTACGGCTATGCTCTGAAAATGTGGCTCTGAAATGCAGATGTGGCACCGAGAATGAGCCATAGAATTGATTCTTAAAACAATCTATTCTAGAGATCTCATAACGTAACAAATCCTGAATAATACAATTTCTAAAACATTTCTACAGAATACTCTAGAACTTTATTTCGTTTAGTCAGCATATTTTTTGAACTAATAGAATTAGTTTTTAGAGTTCGCAAATATT